GGAATAGAGCACAGTGAAAACGAACTGTTTGGAAGAAAGTGGTTATAGTCTGTATTTAGTTTACATCTCAAGACTTGTAAGACACTATGAAGGAACAGGAAATCAAGAAGTAAATGTGCCAGATGTTGCTCACCTTTGATTATCGGGCATTGAGTGCTATACGGAAGCCAGTTTCCTTTTACTGTGAAGGGACTTTTCCTGTTACTGGTTGTTCCTGTACCTAATTGCCCATTACCTCCGAGTCCAAAAGAATAAATTCTTCCAGATGAAGGAACAAACGCAGTAGTGTGCTGCCTAGGGCAAACAAAATTCAGTAACAAAAATCTGAGCGTTACAACATGCTTTATGCAGGTCAGCCTAAGAACTGTGTTAAACAGTGTGTTAAAGGTCCTGTACTACCAAAGACTCCGCTTCTCTATTGGCAACGCACTGCCACTGGCAATACTCCACTTATATTCCAATAGGCAATATTCCATTTTCATGGAAAAGTTCATGGAACGGAGATGCCAGGTTCTACCTTGAACCCCTGCTTAGCCACAGTCTGAACTTTAGAGCGTATCTCTAGACATTCAGAAATTTGAAGTTTCTACCAGATCGGCTGCATCTCCTTTCCCCTCCCACCCTTCTCAACTCTAGATGCCCTCTCTCCTATCATGAGCCTGGGAAGAACCAGCACTGAATTTATGTAAACTATTAAAAGGGAATGTGTCCACTCAGCGTCAACCAAACTGCTACAATGAATAGGTTTACATTTACATATTCTTTAACCCACATAACAAAGTGTGCCCATCTCTCAAAAAAATTACGTTGCCTGCCTCATTTTGTCTTCTTAGAATGCAATTCTTTGGACAAGGGCATTTTCATGTGTGCTGGGAATTTTTCCGATTTCTTAGGTGCTATTATAATATATACAATAAAAACCCATTAGGAACTAAAGTGCCATACAGTGTTACGGATATTTCACAAAACAAGTTATGCTTCCAAATTTTACACTAATCCTCAGTGATGCTCATGTACCTCTCCAAACACGCTTGTTCTTTAATAGGAAATGATAAAGTGACAGCAATAAACAACACCTTCATATTTCACACTGATTACTCACATTTTCAGTTCAGAAAAGTAGAGACTCTCAAATAGCGTAACTTCCTTTAGTTCTTCTATTGAATGTTTTTAAAATCCTAGTAAGGTCTCTAAATATCTTTTGCTAGAGACCATCCTGTACTCCCTAACCTCAAAGGGTAAGAAAAAAACCACTTCATATTGCAATATATATGAAGTTTTATACAAAACAAGTTACTTATATGATTCATAGTGCTAGCACAGAACAGAACAGACCTTACCTGCCACAAGTGATTTGTGTGACAACACTTCCCATAAGTTCAAAAACTTTCCTTGGGTTTATCTCATGGCTGGTAGAGTTATGACCCAACTGACCATAGCCTCCAGCTCCAAACGTAAAAACCCCACCTTCCTAAACAAATAAAGTATTTGCATTAAAATGATAGTATATCTCAGAACAAGAAACTTAACAGAAACAGGGGTTGAATAAATCTCCTTGTCTGATGATTTTGGAATCGTGGAGATAGGAGAGGAAAATATATATGCACAAGAGGGCCTGAAGCCACAGAAGGGTCACAAGTTAACTGCAGCTATGAAAATGTGGCACAGCTATCAAGTACTACTGTATTTGTGTTAAATCACGTTCTTGTAATTTCCATATTATTATACAATAGTCCTGCCATTAATTTGTGTCATTAACACATACTAATCCTTGTTTTCCCTCTTTTCTAGTTCTCCTTATGACCTACAACAGTATATAAACTCACACTATTAAAAAAGTACACTTTGGCTTTTAAATTCTGAATATAAATTTTAAAGCAATTACCAAATAGGAGCCTGCCCTTCTCAGGCAGATGATGCAGAGTATGACTGAAATAGTCAGCTTCATTATTTGAAGGCATAAGAAACTAGAGAATTTCAACATTGTTGTAAGGCAAGCCGTTTTTTGAAAGTGTTTTTGATTAATTTAATCAAGAAATTAACCAAAAACTTTAATGAAAGAATGTTAAATCAGAAAGATTTTCATAAGTTATACAACTTACCTTACAACAACTTTGAAACTTTCCATTTTCAAATGCTTTGAAATTGTAAAGCTGTTTCTTTCAATTCTACTCTGCATCAGACTGGACCTCTGCTGGAAATCATCATTAAAATGGCAGTGTCCACTGAGAAAAACCAATAGCCTCATTCACTGAATCAGGATAACGAACAGTGACAGTTTTTTCTGAATTTCAGGACTTGAAGAATGCTCGCACATATATACACTACTGTCTACAAGAGATATAAATCAAGACCCCTCATTCTGCAAGGCCTATCATACAAGGGAAAACAGAGTTATACAAACGGGTGACATAAATAATTCGTAGAAACATTTATAGTAAATTCAGCATCTTAATTGAGTCCATCAGCTTCAAAGCAAGTGTGAAGTTAACTTCTATACATGAAAAAGGGAAAAACATTTAGAACGCAAGTTACAGATTGCTGTTTTCTTTACATTCTACATTTCCCTAACCTCGCACAATACATCAATATCAATTTCAGGATTACAAAGTTGCCACATGTTTTTCAGTCAAGTGAGAGAATATTTTAGGACAAAAAGCAATTGTTTGTGAACAGTCTGTCCCTTTCACTGTAGAAAATTAAGCGTGTATAAAACAACAAAAGTATGGCCACATTTAGGCAGATCATATTCTTCAAAAAAACTCTTAACTTGTTGCAGTGTAAAAATTCAAACTAACACATTGAAAAAAACCACACGTTTTCCAAAAGTAAGTAAATGCAGATTTTTTTCTTCAGAAATAAAACATAAAAAATAGTACTTTCGAAGTTCTAATGCTTTCTACAACAATCTTCTGAATTCAACAGATTCAGACATGAAATGGGTATTTAGTCACTTGCCCAAATCTTGATCGGCTAGAATTGTTTTCTACTGCTATCAGCAGTAAGCTCAAAATATTCTGTTTATAAATAGACACATTTTATTGAGAGTGATGAACAACAGGAAACATCAAAATGTTAATAAATACTGATTTATAACTAAATGTTGAAGTTTAATCCAACTATGAAAACACAGGAAAAAAGTACAAGAGTCAGTAATTTAAAGTAAGACATGTGTTTTACCTGCCATAAAATAAAGGTACTTGATGCTTGAAATACACTCATTTTAGTGGTGAATAGTGTAAGAAAGAGCACTAGCATTATACATTCTATGTTGCTCCTAGAAGTTTTCAAATAAGTTTAAAAGTTTTAAAATAAGACTCCAAATAATGCATTTAGTCAACAGCTATAAGGCAATTTGACACATTTCAGCTCTGTTTTAATCAGTTCCTACCTCTCTGTACAAACGTGCCGCACTGACTCAGAATACGTGCTTTTTTTCCAAATCGGCCTTGAAATAAATGACCAACTTTTCATAGAACCCCACACTATAATACTAACTAGTGGATTATGTACATCTTCAATTTCTTCTATTGGTTTGCCAATAGTATGTAAATAGCTGCCGCGCAACAGCAGCCGGAGAAAGGAGTGAGCCTATGCGAGAGGAGCAGCCCCGCAGCCCCCCAGGTGGGTGCAGCAGGAGGAGGGGGTGCTGCAGGCCCGGAGCAGAGATTCCCCGGTGACGCCGGCTGTACCCCGGCAGCCCACGGAGGCCCACGCTGGAGCAGATCCCCACCTGCAGCCCAGGGAGGACCCCATGCCGGAGCAGGGGGATGCCTGAAGGAGGCTGGGACCCCGTGGGAAGCCCGCGCTGGAGCAGGCTCCTGGCAGGGCCTGAGAGGAGCCCAGGCTGGAGCAGGTTTGGTGGTAGGGGTTGTGACCCCGCGGGGGACCCACCACAGGGAAGGGACCCACGCTGGAGCCCTGC